TCAAGTTTGCCACGCCGCCATGCCCACCTGCTCCATCGAAGCTGGTCGGGGTTGGAATCCTCAACACTGTTTTCTGTCTCTGGGCACAGTTTCATGTTGATGAGGTCAAAGGGGTCAGATAGCAACCGTTCACAGTAAAAAATGACACTTCCTGTTCTCAGGGGGCGTGGCCTAAGTGATGTCATCATTCGACCATAGGGTATTGTAGGAGACCCGATGATGATCAATCACAGTAACTTTGGTGCCTCTGTGATTTTCTGTGTAGGAGATATAGCAGTTTATGTTTTTATGGCGAGTAGGTGAACTTTGACCCCTGCTAAACCCCCTTCAGCATACTCAAAAACTCACCGTTTTGATAACTTTAGATGGGACATGCCTTATGAACAGACTGACCGAGTTTGAAGCCGGTCAATGGAAATCCCTAGGAGGAGTTTCATCAAATACGAAGGCTGTAAACGGCAAAAATGGGGTGAAAATTGGACCTTCAATCCAAAATGGCCGACTTCCTGTGATACTTGCATTATGACATTAATCGTAAATTTTGAGCGTCTTGGGGAGCTCTACAAGTGTACCAAATTTCATGTCTCTTCGATGAAGTAAGTGAATAGTAAAGCATTTCCTGCATATTCGTTTTTCGAAAATCAAATGGGAGTTATCCTTTTTTCCCCCAACTGACCGCGAAAGCTTAACATAGCCTATTCCAGCTCCTTTAATTGAAACTTATTGTATTGTTTAAAATTGTATTATGACTGCAGAATAAAATCAAATGCACCATTTCAACCAAAGATTGGAATGTGCTTCTCAACCAGATGTACTCTGTGCTGAAAGTTAACTGTGCTCTGTTATTGTGCATTGCCCTTGGTTTATTACTGAACAGTACGGTTTATTAAACTGATACATCTTAACATTTTCCATTTTCCTAACTCACTTTACGATAACGTTAAAGTTGCACTGCATTTAGATCTCAGTTGTAGTTAACATCAAGCATGTGGGTGTGGCTTAGTGTAAAACTTTCACTATTTACCATGAAACATCAACATTAAATGACTTCCAAATGCAAGATCACAGCTGCATCACACTTCCTCTGTCTTTCTAGAGAACAGCCCTGAACACATTTCCATGGTCACTTGATGACCTCACTGTAGCCCCGCCCACTTTGAAGAGGCAGTCACATGTTTTTTCTGCTGTTTATTTTACTGTTATTCTATCATTTATATGGGTTTCATCATGTGAATACTGACTAAAAACGATAACATGATGAACTCTATGATTGCTGGCTGCTGACCGAACCGCATTGGGGTGTAGAAATGACGAACTACAGTTCTTCACCATGTGCATATGATCGGCTCTAAATGTACATTGATTATCCGACTGGCGCCAAACTGGATATGTATGACCTTTGTTGACCTCTAAACACCCCAACAACATTGAAATGTATTTTGACTCCACTGCGCCCCCTACATTAATACACCAGCTATATTTCCTCGCTAAATTATCAAATCTGCACCACATTTTTTGTCCATCATCAAGGAGCGCCGTCGAACGCATCAATGCGTACCGCCTGGTGGACGGGCGCGGAAACTGCACAACAACTTCTGTGTTGGAATGTGGGCAGTGTTGATGAAAACTGTGCAACAGCTTCCGCGGTGCGGGCGGAGGTGCTGAAAACTGCGTGAGAGCTTCTGTGGTGGCTGGCGTCGGTTGGTAGTACCCCACGGTGGCCTATAGGCCGGAGCGGCGCTTGGCTGCGAGGGCCGCTCGAGGCTGCTTGCAGCTTTAATATTTAGTTTATTTTGAGTGCTGCTAAGTACTGATAGTTCTCCAATTAGTTTTACAAATGTCTCTGATGAAAACATTTTCCCTATTATTCTGAAGTACAGCTTTATACCATAAAACATCTCCACCTGAATTTCACCTTCAAATTAATATTTTACTACTCATCTGGACTGTCATAACGTGTCTACTTATCTCTTATCATGAAAACTCCTGTTTTTTTCCATTCCCTACAATACTTCCAGATCGCAACATTTCAAGCGATGAGAGACTGAGTTGGTGCTCCGACAGTTCATCAAACATCGCAATAATATAAATCACTTCCTCTTATTTCTCATTAAGCCAGGAGCTCCCCACCATCAACTCACTGGTTTGTGAAGATTATCAAATAGTGGAGGTTAAAATATCATATTTCAGATTTCCCCAAAAATCTAACTCTGTTATTTGTTGTAATGTACAATTATAGTAATGAGGCTTAAATCATGCACCCTATACTGTATTTCAATCAATGAGGATTTGGATTGTAAAGGTTAATGCTTATTGTTCAGGACGTTGCTCTTTTTATGCTTAGTTAAACTACAACCAAGATAAGGTTTTATGTTTTTACAACTAAGATCAGTGTTAAAATATAAATATGTTCAGTTGAACCTGTTTTGTTTTTAGTGTATCTAATTATATTGCTCTTATCGTTGATCCCGGAAAGCAATCTGCGGAGAATAACACTTCAGATTAAATAGTGCTGTTACCATGGAGAGATTAGACCACATAGATTAATCACGTATAATTCTTATCACCTTGGTTTTGCTCCTTAGTTTATTTACTACTCAGAAAAAAAAAAGTATTTTGAGTTTGCAAAGCATAAATCCCATAATGTAACTTTATTTATTTTGCTGTAAATGATTCTGTTGAGGCAATTGGTTTGCATACTTTTTAAGCAAGAAATAAAATAAGATATTCCAGTAGAATTATGTTATACTCGATTATGTCTTTACCACTTTCTCTGAATTCTCAAGCTGGTCAACTCGTGTAGCTAAAGATTTATCAACTTGCTCATACTGATATTTCAAACTTTTAAGAATATTAAGGTCCACTTGTGCAGCTACAGTGTAAGCACTAATCGATACAAAGTGCAGATATTACTAACTTTCCATCCGTTATTACGGCCTTTTGTTTTTATTGATTTCCTTCTTCATTGTTATTTTATTCAACCCATGGGGACACAGTTGAGTCTTAACTTGTTTCTCTTCATTAAATAAATCCACATTCCTTCAGACATATAGATAAAATGTCTGAAACGTCATTGAAGCACTAACCCTAAACCAATTACATTATTGCAGCTATTAGAAAGCAGTTAGAAATTGTCATGTAACTCATATGTCCTGCTGTGATGTATAAAGTTTTTAGGTCTATCACTGAAATACTTCCTCAACATTGCTTTCAAATTCAGGCTGAAATATCTGATCAATCGCCGTATCAGATATTTCAGATTCAAGACAAATTTTTATATAGACCTTATTGATTTAAATTGGGAATAGGTATATAATTTGAAATTATATAAAAGTATTGCAGCTTTGTTTCACAGTTGACCCTTTTACATGTGCTCTGCTACTATCAGTTGTCATGGGCAGAGTTCATGCTATAATGGAAGCTTCAACTTCAGTTTTACTCCTTAAAACGTTAACCAAGTCTATTAAGGAAATTTATTGAATTTGTTCCTCTTTTAAAATGTTTCGCCTTCCCAGTTTAGAAGATGTTAACCTTTCTTGAATACTTTAAATGATTCCACAAGGTTAATCTTACGTGCTTTTCAAACCCATTTGTCAAACATCACTTACTGTCGACAATTCTTTACTCATAGTGTTAATTTATTTATTTTCCTTTGCTTCTATTGCTTTTTTCACTTAAAGAAATGTATTTTATAAGTGCTACTTGGTTGTGTAGTCCTTCAAAATTATAGAATGATGTTAGTTTAATTTCAATAATTAAATTGGAAATTAAATTTTCTGATTCTACTTTGACAGATCAGTTGAACATCTGTGGAACCAAAAACGTCCCATTTACATTGTTACAGAAATCTAAAATCTCTTGACTTCTGCTTCAGACATCAGTTTTTTAGAGTCCCAGCTCTACTGGTGTGTACTGGGAAGCTTCGACCAATGGCGTTACTTCCCTTCATTTGCGTAGCAATTCTGGCTCCGTTTTACACCAAATGTGAATTTGGAAGTTCCGATAATTATGAGTTGAACTCCTGGACTCAAATCTCCTCCATCAGCAGAACTATCAGTCAAGTTGTTTTTTCCTTATCTGTCCAAACAGAATCTTTCCCAAGTCTTGGGCTCCAGTCCAGTTCCTTTGCAGGCGAGCAGGGGAAAGGTCGGGTGCCAGAACTTCTTGCACTACAGCTTAAAACTAACATCTTTCCTTTCTTAAGTGATTGTTATTCCACGTCTCTCCAAATCTGAATTCCTTCCTGACTTCTAGGTCAGACTGACCCAGTCAATTTGACACAGTACATTTCTTTTAGGTTAAAACATGTCTTTATGCGAACCAACATATTTATTTACTATTAACATAATTATATTCCTCTACAAATCCCCCCTAAAATAAGTAAACTTATTTTCTAGGTACTTACGGATTTCCTCAAGAGAACTGTATGTAGAAGTCTACTTATGGTGGCTAACGTATAACGATGAAGATAAAATATTAATGTAGATAACATAACTACAAAGCTTATTTAAATATATTGCTTAACGAGTTTATCCTACAGTGAATGTATAATTCATAGTGCATTGCTCTCCCTTGGTCAACAGTTGCATTAGCATAGGATCGAAAAACCCTGTCAGTCAATCTTTCATTTGAGGGAAAAAACTATCCTATGGTCCCAAGTCAACCATCCGCAGGCACAAATGGAACTGCAAACCATGGTACCTGCAATGATTTTCACCCAACATTGTCAGAGGTCATACTAGCAAGGGTTGAGCAAAGTAGAGACAAGTCTTGAATTAGAACATGAAACGAATTCTCAGCAGCGATGTAGTGGAGTGAAACACAGTTCCTGTCCTCAGGTCGCAGAAGCAAATAGTTGTTTCCAGGTTGATATTCCTTTTGTTTTATTATTCTGCCTTTGCCACTTGTTGTCCACAATCTTCATTACCCACTTTCCAGTCAATGAATTATCAAATAAAGCCCACTAGAGCCAACAAAATCTTTTAAAAAAACATGCCATAATGGGGGTTTTCCAAGCAGTCTTTAAATGCACCATGGAAGGTCAGTTTTGGCACCAGGTGTATTTGTGAACAAGGATTTCTGATTGCATCAGATTGTCGGCATGGCAATACAGCAATCATTGGTTTAATATTTGAATCAAATTGTCATTCTCAATAAATGAATGCTAAACTTTCAGATCAATGATCCATGTTACAGTTAAAGCTTTAATGGAGGCCCTGAAGGTCTGGGGGTCTAAACCAGCTGCTGGGTTTGTTTTGCCTTGGGCCACAAAATAAAAATCTGAGAAAATGCAGTAAAGTAAAAAGTTCTGACTTTTTTGGTCGTCTGGATCTGTTTTCTTCATGTGACTTTTTAGGTTAAAAAGTTTCCAACAACAGACAGAAATAGAAAGAATAAAGATTAAGTTGCTTTCCTTTATCGTACAACTGTAGATGATTTTATTTCAGTATTTTGGCCTTTGACCGTTGATCTGTTCACTACTTTATACAAACAAACCAGTGATGCTGTTGGTGATTCAATGTGTTGGTGATTCAATGTGTTGGGAATCTGTTCTTGTTTCAGTTTGGTTTTTTAATTTTTTGTGTTCCTCAGTTTTTCTCTTAGTTCTGCCTCGTTTCCATTTCCACTTCAGTTTTTCCTCATTGATTCTAGTTTATTTCTTGCTTCTATTTATTTTTTTGTCGCTCTAGTTTTGTTTCTCCAGTCTAGTTATTGTGTTAGATTTACTTCCTGTTTCCCTGTATACGCTCCTTCTCCACTCACACCTACAACCTGTTAACTCATCAGCCCAGGTCTTTTGCTCAGCATTCAACCTCCCTAGTATTTAAGCTTCTCATTCTCAGTCACTCTTAGCCGGTTCCTCTTGTCAGTGGCCGTCATTTCTCTGTGCTTCTTCATGTTCTCCTTTTGTCTACTCGTTGGATGTCTTTTGGATTTATTATCTGTGTTTTTCCTTGACTACAGTCATTTTTGATATCTTTTGTTTTTCATTAAATACTTTCAACATGATCCACATTCCTGTCTGCACTTTGGTCCATCCTGTAAAACTTTGCCTTCTTTTAAAGCTTTGTGCTCTATACCGATATGAAAAACTGATACAATGTTGTAGTTGCTCAAATTGAAATTATTATTTCAAATACTGAAATGACTGTTTTTTAATAGTGACTGTCAGTATTTTGAATCTATAATTGCATTTGAAATTCCCACATAAACGTCTTCTCTCTATTTCTACAGGATTGACACTCTGGGATCGTGATGACTTGGAAAAAGACAAAAGAGAAACCCCACAACCAAACAGTGACTTTGAGATAGTTGCTTCTGAATCAATTGAGGACAAATCTTCAGTCCTGAATGTTGAAGCATCTTTGAAAGCAAGTTTTTTAGGTGGCCTAGTTAAAGTTGAAGGATCAGCCAAATACCTCAATGATCAGATGACGTCCAAAAATCAAGCCAGAGTAACACTGAAGTACAAAGCTACCACAAAGTTCCAAGAATTATCAATGAATCATCTTGGAAGAGGCAACATGAAGCATCCATATGTTTTTCAGAACAAAATAGCAACACATGTGGTCACAGGCATTCTGTATGGAGCTCAAGCATTTTTTGTCTTTGACCAAGAAAAATCTGAGACAGAAAATCACCAAGACATTCATGGCAACTTGAAAGTTTTGATTGACAAGATTCCAACCCTAACTATTGAAGGTGAAGGTTCCTTACACATGGAAGATAAGGACAAGGAATTAATGCAGAAGTTCTCCTGTAAGTTTTATGGAGACTTCCTACTTGAGAAAACTCCAACAACCTTCCAGGATGCAGTAGCAGTTTACCAAAGCCTGCCCAAGCTGCTGGGGGCCAGTGGAGAAAATGCCGTACCAATCAAGGTCTGGATGCTGCCTCTGACTAACTTAGATTCTTCTGCAGCTAAACTTGTCCGTGAAGTAAGTATTAGGTTAGTTCAAGAAGTACAAAGTGTCCTGGAGGAGCTCAGTGACCTGGAAATAAGGTGCAATGATGCAATGAAAAACCCTACAACACAGCAGTTTCCACAGATTATCAAAAAACTTAATCATTTTAAAAGTTTGTGTTCTGAGTTCAGGCTTGAATTTCAACAAACGATAGCAAAGAAACTCCCATCAATCCGAGGAGGAGGAGAAGAAGAGTCTGAGCTTGCAAATGTCTTGAAGGAGATTCAATCCTCACCTTTCAACAGCAAAAACCTCAATGGCTGGATTGACTGCAAAGAGAGAGAAATACATACCCTGAAATCCTACACCAGGATGATGAAGAACACCAAAATCATCCCATCTCAAAATATCCTTGATGAAGAAGTTCTCAATGCAGAGCATGCTGTGTGTTTTGTCTTCAGCTCACTGGAAAGAGATGAACCGTTCCTCTCTGCTTTGCTGAACTACCTCAAAAGCAAAACCAACTCAGATGATTCACACAGTTATGATATCGAGAAGGAACAATGGTATCTCTCAAACAACTTGGCAGATGAAATGAGAACAAAAGTAAAACTCTTCAAAGACTTCGCAGAGGCCAACACTGAGACCAAGAGCTCAGCATTCCTGGCAGTAGGTCTAACAGATGAGAAACATGAAGGTTCAACCATCTACCTTTATAAAGACGGATTCCTCATCAGTGAAAACTTTGAGCCTCCTTCTAAGCCTGAAACTGTGACAGCTGCTGACATAAACCACAGCAGTGTGACTCTGAAGGTTTCTCCTCCCAGCTTTGGAGCAGAGAGCGTCACATCCTACTCTGTTGAGTTCTGTGTCATTGGACAAGATGAATGGAAACAACAGACTGAACCAAAATCATCAGAAATCACAGTGACCCAACTGCAGCAAACACAGAGTACATGTTCAGATGCAGAGCAGTGACCTCAGCAGGTGTTGGACCGGCCAATGTCATCAATGATCCCATTAAAACTTTACCCTGCAGCCCTCCTGGAGAACCGCAAGGTGAACCAAACTCTTCTGAGATATCAGTGAGTTGGGAGAAACCTGCAGAGCTCGGACCAGATGTTCACATCCTGAGCTACATTGGAATAAATATAGGTAGAAGATGATCACACCTGGAACCAAACAAGGTCAAAAGGTGAAACGGCCATCATTTCAGGACTTCAGTCAGAAAACACAATATGCATTCAGGATCACATGTGACTGTGGTGGGGCTGGTAGGAGCAAGGAAAGCAAGATTGTTCATGTTCAAACAACAAAGCCAAACAGCACCAGACTTTCTGATGCTGTTAAAGCTGAGAGTAAAGAGCTGCAGCCACAGATTGGACCACTTCCTGTTTATAAAGTTCCTCTGAAGGAGGAGAACATCAGAATAAATGGATGCAGGTTCTTCAGGTTTGGAGAACCTGCTGCTAAACAAAGTCGCACCATCATGGTTCTTGGAGCTACAGGTGCTGGGAAGTCAACTCTCATCAACGGGATGATAAATTACATTCTAGGTGTTCAATGGTCAGACTCGTATCGGTTCATCTTAGTGGACGATGGTCAAACAAAATCCCAAGCTCACAGTCAGACCTCTGAGGTCACTGTGTACAAACTCAACCACAGAGAGGGATTTGAGGTTCCCTTCTCTCTGACCATCATAGACACTCCAGGCTTTGGAGACACCAGAGGAATAGAGAGAGACAGGGAGATCACAGAGCAGCTCTGTAACCTCTTCACTAGTAAAGACGGGGTCAGTGAGGTTGATGCTGTGTGTTTCATAGCTCAGGCTGCTTTAGCTCGTCTCACACCAACACAGAAATATGTCTTTGATTCCATTCTCTCCATCTTTGGCAAAGATATAGCAGAAAACATCAGGATCCTGGTGACATTTGCAGATGGTCAGAAGCCTCCAGTTCTAGAAGCCATCAAAGCTTCAGGCATACCAACTCCGAAAGGGGAAGATGGTCTTCCAGTTCACTTCAAATTTAACAACTCTGCTCTGTTTGCTGACAATAAATCCTCTGCAGCAGAGACTCAGAGTGATGATGACGATGGAAACTTTGATCAGATGTTTTGGAACATGGGAACAAAAAGCATGAAAAGGTTTTTTGCTGCTCTAAATCAGATAGAAACCAAAAGTTTGACTCTGACCAATGAGGTCCTGAGAGAAAGAAAGCAGCTGGAGGTTTCAGTTGAGAATCTGCAGATTCAGGTTAAACTTGGTTTGGCCAAACTGGAGGAGATCAGAGAGACAAGAGAAAAAATCAAAGAGAATGAAGCCGAGATCAGTAGAAATGAGAACTTTGAGTTTGAGGTCACTGTGAAAAAACCGATACAAGTTGATATCTCAGGTTCTGGTTGCTACAGTATGAACTGTCAGACATGCCATGTCACCTGTCATTACCCTTGTCCAATACCAAATGATGATGAGAAAAGAGGATGTGCGGCGATGGACAATGGATACTGCACTCAGTGTCCAAAGAAATGTAACTGGAACGTTCATTTCAACCAAAAGTACAGGTGGGAATATGAAGATGTTATAGAGAAACGGACAGCTGCAGACCTGAAAGCAAATTATGAAGAGGCCACAGGGCAGAAGATGATTGTTGAGGGACTAATGAGAGAACTACAGGATGAATATGATATCATGCAGAATGAGGTGAATAAATTAATAGATAAGTCAGCAAAGTGTCTGAACAGACTGAAGGAGATAGCACTGAAGCCCAATCCTCTCACCACTCCAGAGTACATTGATCTGCTGATTGAAGGAGAGAAACAGGAGGCAAAACCAGGCTGGAAACAACGGATTCAGTCACTGATGGAGATGAAAAAAAAAGCAGAAGTCATGGCTAAAGTGGAGAAAGGAGAAAAACCTTTCCTCCAATAAGAGTCACTTGATCAGAGGTCTTAAATCTGCAGATTGTCCCAAAGTCATTTAGATTTTAGTTCTTACAATTCTCTTTGCTTTTGTTTAAAGCTCTTTGCTTTGTTTGAAACAGGAAATATAAATCCTTCATAAATGATTTTATCAGCATCAATACTTTTAGGGAAGCTAGTTTGACTCTTATTATTCTTTCTGACACATCAGGAAAACATGAAATCTCTGCATTGCTTCCTGTGTTGCTGTGCGTACCGATACAGTTCCTGTGGCGTCTGCATGTGAACGCACCAAATTGTTTTGTCCTGCGTGGAATCATTTTGATCGATTATTCTGTTCTCATTTCCACTTTTGATCATGTTTCTTTTGGTTTATTTCAGTTCTTTCTATATGATATTTGCATTAGTTTGCAGGGATTAACTTTGACCTTATTGTAGGTAACAGTAGGATGTGGTTCCAGGTGTTGTCTACCTGGAACCGGAGCTCTTCCACAATGCTGAGGCTTCAACATGTCCAGCATGAGGCCATGAACCGGTCAACTCTCCCATCTTTATTGAACTGGCCTGCAGTGACTTTCTCCGTCCAGCAGATGTCACTGTGTGACAGTTTCTACAGTTTGGGAAATGAGCCACAGAGCCAGTGAGGCTCACCTGCCGTCATCACCTGTTAGATTTATGTTAGTCAGTGTTAAAGCTGGTTGGTAACAGAAGAAAGGCCTTGTTATGTAGGTTGATGCTTTTTACTTTTATAAACTCATTTGCTAAGATAATTTTGGGTTCAGTTATTCCTTTAACATAAAGTATTATCTATAATATTGTTGGCTTAATTATATTTTTGCTGTAATTTGATTTAAAGGGGGATAAAGATCTGAAACATTTGTAAGAATTTCAGGAAGATGATCTTAAAGTGAAAAACTTAATATGACTTGATGTGCTTTAAATCAAGAGTTTTACTAAAATAATGTTTCAACACATTAATGTTATTTTGTCTCTGTATCTTTAAGCTCCTCCATTTAAAACCTGAGTGTAGAAAGTAAAACTGTTTACCTGTAATAATAATAATAATTAGATGTGTTTGTAGTTAATTTTTACATCAATAAGGTTTGTGGGGATTTGGTGCATGTATGATCCTGTCATCATGTCAGCAGATCCTCGTTTCCTCGGGTTACGTCTTTATTTAATCCTGTGAGTTTTGCTCAAAGTCTCCATTTGTCTCCTCGCTGTCCTCCTGCGTTTCCTGGTTTAATATAAGAATCATAATTAAATTCATTTCTGCTCCTAATGGGAGTCTGACTGCATCTCAGCTTAATCCATGACAGATCAATACTTTATGATCTGTGCATCATAAAAAGCTGCAACCATAGAAAAGATATATAATAAAACTACGACATGTATTGAATGGACAGAATGTCAATGAAAACATGAAACTACATCTGAAATTAAACTGAATTCATAAAGAAAACATGAGATTTCATCTTCAATGGATTTTATTTTTCTATTGTTTCCCAAACCTTTTCATTTTTCTCCCAGGTTTCTGCAGCAGGTTGGGTTTGTGTCAGTGAAACATAATGCAGACAAACATCACAGATACATAAACCTAAATATTTACAGTGTAACATTAATGGATCCACAGAGGAAACTTTGACCTGAACTTCAGAGCAATCCGTTTCTTCTGCTTTATGTTAACAACATAAACAAAAATTAAAACTTGGAGGAAAAACCTGCTTTCTATGAGCTGCCATCTTTAATCTGTTACCATCGAAACCATAAAGCTTTTCTGACCTGCAGTCAGCAGAACAACATTTCTACAACGATTCTCTAAACACAGCGATGAAGGTAACATCAGTTTGTGCATTTTATAACAAATAAAATAAATAAAGACGTTTTTCTTGAAGCAGAAAAATCATCCAATGAGAGCAGAGCAAACATGAAGCCTCTTTTAGCTGCTGGTCATAATAAAGTAGTTTGATGCTGATTGGATGAAAAAGTTTGGCTGTTTGGGAAACGGAGAAATCTCTGCAGTGGTGATGGATTCATAACCAACATCCATATTCATTTATAAACAACCAAATATGAAACAGAAACAAACTGGATTCAAACTTTCACCTACAAATTCAACCAACAGGAACCAGAACCAAAACCTGAAGATTTTAACCAAATCAGCGACTTTCCTTCACCTAGTTAAAGATCAGATACTCTCTGATACTCTTATCTCTGTAATTTTCATTCACAATATTGAGTAAAGTAAATGATTGTTTTACTTTCGAGTAATTTGGATTTTTGTTTAGAATTGTAAAATTTCTGAATGTTGTTTTTACATTATAATGAATTCTAATCAGAAACATTTAGTGTGAACAGTTTATTTTTTTAGTGACGTTTTAGGAACTCTAGTTCATTTGGCTCTTAGAAATTTGTAAGGTGAATAAATACTTAAAACAACTCACAATTAAATTGATCTTTCATGCACTCACACACTTAGGTTTAAGATCTAAAACCTTCTGAATCTGTTTGACTTAAAGCATAGGAAATAGTAGAAACAATTGAAGACGGCTCAAATGTTTTACAGTGTATATGTGTTATCAAACCGAACACAAGCTGAATTCGCTCCTCAATCATGGCATCAGAAGATTATTTTACAAGCCACACTATCTATGATCAACCTGAGGACTTAACTGTGTCCCACACGATGGATAGCATCCAAAGAGAGAACTGTTTTGTTTTTGAGGGGTTTTGTTTTCCACCTTTATCAACCTTTAACCTGGAAAGGCTGGATGAAACCGACAGTTCATCCAGCTCAGGTCGACACTTTCCTCCCAGGACTTAGCAACTGTTTCGTCCTGATATCCAGAGAACCTGACCTGGATATTCAAAGCTGTAGGTTTTCTGCATGGAAGTAAAATTAAACATAAAAACACTACAAATTAAATTTCAGAAACTGAAAAAAAGAAGCATGAAAATAAGAAATAAAATACATTCAAACGTTAATAAAGTTACTACAGTTTGGGTGACTGGAAGTTTGTCCTCTTGTAACAAGCAAGCCAATGTTTCGTCTTTATGTTTCCTCCACATGTTTCCACTGAGCTGCTGCGCTCAGCATCCAGTTTCTCAAGAGCTAACCTTTAGCGAAACAGTAAATGATATCGCTGGATCTTTTAACGCTGGCATTACTACATCTGAAACTTGCTTTCCTACGTGGACTAAGTCTGTCAGTGATGATTTTCTGCCAGAGTAAAAAAGCAACAAAACCAACACGACTCCAGCAATGAGGAGGCGAAGGGTGAACAACAGGCCCATCATGATCGTCACGATTGGTGTCGATCTGCCTGCAATCAGAAGACAGAGAAAATACTGGATTTAATATCTAATTAACACGAGCTATTAAAGCAGGAAAATTAAAATTATTCCTCACAGAAAATTAAACTTCCAACATAATTATGGGGTTTCTTGGAAAACATCTGTTAAAAAGATCACAACTAACTTTTATCGTAAATTTCTTATATTTCCTAATGTGGCATTTTGTTGTCAGAATAAATGTGATCAGATTAAATCATTTGTTTTAATAGTTTCTGTTAAATGAAGCTACTCTGATGAAAGGCGGATGTCTTTGAAAGATTCACACGTTTGGGTGAAAATCATGTATATTTCTGACAGGCAGGTTTACACACATTTTTCAGAATCATGTCTGAAATTAATGGGAGTTTTTTATTTTTTTAATTCAGAAGATCTCAAAGTGTTTAGATTTCCAGTCTGACAAATTCCTGAAATAAACACAGAACATATTTACATTTTCTTGTTCTGATGAAAAACAATAAAATATTTATGAATATCAGTAAAATTGTGTGAATGAAAAACTGTTTATTGATGTAGTTCTGCTGCACACAGAGAAAACCCTTTCAAGGAGCTAAAAGGTTTTTCTGAACGTTACAAACTTATGAATATTAGAGGTTCAGAACCTCAAGCATCAACTGCATGTCGATAAAAAGACTCCAGATGTTTGATGTCAACACAAACTTTATATGACTGGACGTATTTATGTAAATGTTTGCAAGCAAAATAAATACAACTGATAACTAAAACATTGAATGCCAACAATAGTGAGAATAGCAAAGTCAGTTTCCATCAGAAGAGACAGAAACGATAATTCAAAGAAGAATGGAGTAAATATTTCCTCCAAATGTCTCCACCTCAATAAAAATGTAAAAATGGTCATGCATGTTTTCAAAACCCATGAAAATTTGATTGTGGGAGGAAATCAAAGCAGTTGGGTTGGACTAAAACATTTTCTGTCAAAGATTAAAATAAATGATGCAAACCTTTGCCGACTGTTCTGTCCTCTGTAGCTCAGGGTCTGCAGGTGTTGAGTTTTGCTAATCTGAGTTAATTCACAGAAACATGGAGAATTAGTGACATAGTGAGATTTGTTTAAGGAAACTAGATTAGCTAAGACTGTTGAACCTAAAGCACTGATGTGTCCCTGGACAAACATTTAGAAATGGTTTCCTCCTCAGTATGAACTCAGGTTCTGGGGCCCAATCATTGGTTCTGCTGGCAGAAACACATCAGAGCAGTTTCACTAAATGAATTCAGCATCGTTCAGACTTACCTCCAGCTGTTCTTTAGAGGTGATGAGAGTGAGATCTGTGATCTTTCAGTGTTGCTCTGCTTGTATACAAATACTTCTGAAACACACCTAGTTTTACTCAGAGTGAAACAAAAACCATCACATCCATTCTGGCTCACATTCAACTTGAAACATCTGAAGCCTTTACTTTCCCCAAGCAAGTCACATTTTTCTGTACTTCCTTGTATGGAGATTATCAGAAAGCAAATCTGCTCCACCTTCAAATGATTAAAAACTCTTCATCTTTGACTTTTCCTTGTGTCACTTGCTGTAGCAGGAAGAAAATATCTTTGCTTTGCAATAGGAAGTTTTCTGAACAACAGGAAGTAAAAATAAAATAGTATGAAAGAGAAAATCTTCACGTTTTTTATCAGTGACCAGTAGAGTCTTCAGCAGAGTCCAATGGAAATTTACACTGACGTCAAAAATAAAATACTGTAAAATCACACTGAAAGACAAAATACCGAAAAGGCATTGAAGGAACTTGCTGTTTAGCCAACAACACCAAAATGCCATTGAAAACTTCTCATCAGAAAGTTTCATCAGCTCTTACATCTCACTGCTTTGCTTTCAAGGCCAGTTTGATTTTACAGGTTTTACCATTCAAAGCCAAATCTCTTTCCAATGTCACTGCAAGCTGTCATAGTTTCAGCTCCACAAATTGCCACAGGGTTAGACGTTGGTATGAAGATCCATAAAACACGAAAACCAGAGAATCATCAGCAGATCTGTGAGAGTCAAGATCTGGTCCATTATTCCACTGGGAGGACAAAAACGGCCATATATTTAAAATGATCCCATTTCAAATGTTCAACCAGGAAACTTCTGTTGAGGTAAAAATGATTCATGCCAGATTTGTGGCATGTGGCTCAGTGAGTTTGGGGAAAAAGCATTTCATGTTCCTGGAGTCGTTTCAGTTCTACTGATATATGATATTTTTCTCTCCACTAATTCCTAAATGTATCTTTATTACCGTCTACCATTCCTGTTGCATATCTTCAATCAACATTTAGAGACAAACAGGTCACACATCTTTGGAAGCATTAATTTAAATATTCACCAAATTTAAAAATATTACCACCTGATGTCCTTTGGAACACAACAAGTTTGGAGCATTTACTAGGCAGACATTAACGACCACAAACAACTCTGAGAAAAACTATACTTTAAAATCATTTGGCTGAAATACACGCCAAGATAAAAGACATTGTACATTTCAGTGTAAAATGTCACTGAAATGTCAAAACCATTATTTCTATTTCAGAAATAAAGGAACAGAATTGATCAGGACGGATGAATTGGAATTGATGGGAGAATCAGGAAGGAACATGTTTCTGGGAATCAGCCAGATTTCCTGGCCATGACGAAGACTCCTTAGAGCAGGGGAGATGATCTCCACAAAATGAATTGATATTGTGATTATGGATCTATCAGTGTATTGTTTTAGAGCTGGAAGATGATCAATCCTGAATATTCCCTCCTTAAATCTCTGGAAACTCTGGCCTTACAGACCAACAAAACCAGTTTGCTACAAACTGGGAGAATAATCCTCCGGCCATTTTTCTCTCCGTCTGTGAGCGAGTCTCAGCCGTCATCTCCAGGTCTGTCCAAGAATAAAGGACAAACTGACAACTAATCTCTTGGCAGTAAGCAACATATTTCTGTCCAACGGGTTTTTGCTCTTCTTTGTAAGCTAATTATATTTTCTCGACGAAACCAATAAGTCTGATCTTACAGGAGTCATAATACTATTACTTCACTCTAAAATCTGCATGGCAAGGATTTTATTTTCCTTTTTCTACTTTGAATTAATTACAACATCCTGTGATGTTTTTATATCTGTCAATGTGGTCAAAGTCAAGGCACAGACTCAAATGATACGTTTTATAAGTTTTTTAATGAGAAAAGTTCAGCAATAAAAACAGGACATGAAACATGGAGTTACAGCAAAACCCTGGGAAGAATCCAACAAGAAACAAATCTGATGTTTTAAAGCATATATACATTTTTAAAGATTTTTCCCCCAAACTCAGTACCAAGAAACATCAGGAACCACAATACAGAAAAGATGTAAATCTGAGCGAAATAAAGCATTTTAATTCACAACAATGACAAACCATAAAACGAATTACAACTGAAAGAAAAGCAATATAACAGATATGGTGCATTTTGAATCTATTGTCCTATGAAGTCAAACCAAAACTACATGATTCTCCAGGTGAACAAAACATTTGAGGTGGGAAACAAAAACCTGGTTGAGTTTGGAAAACGCCCAATCAACCTTAAAACAAAATCATGCTGACATTTGGATGACTGGATTTAAAATTATCTAGAGAGGAAACTCTAGGAAATTTGCTTAAATTTGTTCATGAACTGATGAAAACCATTGAGCTAAAAATAACAGTTTCACTTTGAAAAGACCTAAGAATAAATCTGGTGAACGAGAGGTCAGTCAAATAACTAAGAGCTTCACTGCATTCAGTTGGTGGTGAAATACACAGCGTGACAAACATAAACCTGCTTTTTTCCATGAGGACATGAAACCAAGTTTTTATTCTTTCTGATCTCTGCTGCATGGTCTGAGTTATTCATCCTTCTTGTCTTCAACTGTCTCCCTGATTTGAAGCTTGGTGAAGCCAAGTTTAACACGCATCGCCTCCCTGATGTCAGTCTTGACTAAGCTAACTTTAACTTGTGTCGTCTTCCTGCTGATGTTACGCTTCGGTAAACCAAGTTTGACTCGGATTCCCTCCCTGACATCCTCAAACGTCACACCTTTACTTCTCAGGTCCTTTCCTTCTGACTTTGAATCAGTGCAGGTGTTTGCATCACTACATTCATTAATGAATGACATGAATAATTCTGAACACAGCGTGAACATTTCAGTCAGTGTGGAGATTTCCAGCCAATCAAACCAAAGTACAAAATTAAAAGCAGCCAACACAATTATCAGTGGGTTCGACAGAGTGAGAAACGCTGCAATAGTCGCTGCGATTGCTCTTGATACTTTAGGATTGTCTAATGCTGATGGGACATAAGCTGGTGTAACGATGTCCAACCAATGCAAACTAAACATTACAGACACAACTACCAAGAGAGTAGATGTGAGGGAGCTTGAGAAGATAAAAAGCACTGTGACTGTCAATGTCACCATGCTTGATATTTTAGGATCGTCTAATACAGAGATGACCAACTCTGAGAGGCTCCTTGCATATGTGAATGCATCAGACAGCGTGATGATGTCCAGCCAATTTAAGCAAAGGGTGACAATCACAGCAACTGAGAGATTTGTTGTGACAGAGTTCAAGAAGATGAAAAGCATCGTGACTGACAGCGTTAACACTCTTGATGTGTTGGGATCGTCTAATGCCGAGATGACCAACTCTGAGAGGCTCCTTGCATATGTGAATGCATCAGTCAGTGCAACGATGTTCAGCCAATAACCAAAGGGTGACAATCACAGCAACTGAAAAAGTTGTTGTGAGGGAGTTTGACAAAGTGAGAAGCACAGTGATGGTCACCATCAACACTCCTGATATTTTAGGATTATTTAATCCTAAATCAAAGATGTGCGTCAGTGTAATGATGTCAAACTGATGCAAACTAAATATTACAAACACAAGGACTGAGAGAGTTATTACCACTATGTCAGACATAAAGAAGAACACAGTGATTGTTGGCATTAACACTCCTGATATCTTAGGATCACGTAATGCTGCGAAGATTAACCCTGAAAAGTTTCTCTCAGATGTAAATACATACGTCAGGTTGATAATTTTCAGCCAATTGGACCAAAGTATGACAATCGCAGCAACTGAGAGAGCCGTTATCAGTGAGGTTGACATGGTGAGAAGCACTGCGATCGTCACCATCAACACTCCTGATATTTTAGGATTCTTTAACCACAACGGGAAGAACTGTGTCAGAGTAACAATGTCAAACCAATGCAAACTAAATACTGTAAATGCAGTTACTAAGAAAGTTGTTAATATTGTGTTTGACATGAAGAAGAACACAGTGATTGTCAGTGTTAGAGCTCCTGACAGTTTCCGATCATCTAATACCAGGATGAATAACTTTAAGAGGTTGCATTCAAATATCACCTTCAGGTTGAGGATTTTCAGCCAAAGAAACCAAAGTACAACATTCACAGTAGCCAAGACAGTTGTGGTCAACGAGGTTGTCAGAGTAAGAGACACCATTATTGACACTGTTACTGCTCCTGATATCTTAGGATCTTTTACCGCTGATGGGAAGAAACCTGGCAGTGGAACGACGTTCAACCAATGCAGGCTAAATACTGCAGACACAACAACCAAGAGAGTTGTTGTGAGGGAGTTCGAGAAGATGAAGAACACAGTGATTGTCAGTGTTAACGTCCCAGATATCTTGGGATCGTCTAACGCTGCGATGAGCAACTTTGAGATCTTGCTCCCGGGTGAACACATGTGTAAGTGTGATGATGTTCAACCAGTGGAGCATCAGGAATACAACCACTATGAGGAGAGTTTGGGTCAGAAACAGCAACATCTTGATGGTCAGAGAAGATCTTTGTTGTGAATCAGCCTGTTAAACAAGAAAACAGAAACCAAAATGTTACATCTGGAAAAATTACATCTGCCGTTCTACCACTTGATTGTTAAGTGCTGTTGAGTATTTAGAAAATTTCCTCTGATATTCTTGTTTCTGGAAGTTTATAGAAGACCTTGCCCTCCGTAATTGTCCCTTCATTAATGCATTGCTTGTATATAGAGATGTGCTGTCAAGCCACATCAGTTTAGTACATAAAATGTACTAAACACTTGTTCATATTCACTGTCATTATTGTTTTAAGTTATTCTTTGCCATTTTAGAAAGGCACAGAGAGAAATGTGACAAAAGCATTGACTGTACAGTTTTTCTTAGCCTTTTGTCCCAACCATATCTGTGGCAGGAGGTCATATCAAGTCTTAACTTGCTGGTTTTAGCCACTGTGTAACTCACTGTAAAATATGCTTTTAGTCTGTTCTTGTAGTCAGCATTGATCTCCCCTAACCAGAGTGATCACAACTCATACAATACTTCAGTGGCTTGTTTTTCAAATGTGAATGTTTTGTTTCTAAATGTCTTTGCAACAGTAAAAGCTTCATTAAGTTATGTCATATACACTGTTTGAAGAAATCCACCAATATTCCTGCAAGTGAATACCGGAGCAACGCAGCTTTTATCATATTTACATGTTTTATTTCTTGGTCAGAGGCAATGTTGTTCCCAACACCATTGCCTCTGCATCTGTATCCTAGTTGCTGTCCAGTCGTGCTGGACTATCTGGCCTGGCACATTTTCTTTCTGAGCAATCCATCCATTTCTTCACAGCACCAACAAGAAGTTGAGTGAAGGCTGCTTTGACTGTCAGGTAAATCACACCCATTGTTTGCTCTCCTATGAATCCATCTATCCATGTTACAGATGGATGCAATGATTCTCCTGGACACTAGATTGTTGTGTTTACGCACATATTTCGTAATGTAAGAAAGTGCCTCAGTGCATTTATGTGCACAAGTGATTTGGCTGTTTTCTCACCAACCCCTATGTTGGTGAGAAAACTCATATCCTCAGTTTTTGTGTAAGTTGATGCCAAGGATGCAGATATTTGATCTGAACAGCTGCAGGTAACTCAGCTGCATAGAAAAGAGGCTAATGATGGCGTTTTTCTCTTTTTTTAAAGTTGTAAAGCTGAGCTGATTCAGAACAAACCTTGGTTGGCGAAACAACTTGAAGGTCCAGATGATTTCGACGTTTTGTTTTGGATTTTGAGTTGCAATCTGGTAAATTCCTGAAATGAACAGAATCTATTTAGATCTTGTTCTGAAAACATAAATTCACGTTTTTAAATTGAAGCCAGAACAAATGTCAGTAAATGTACGTAAAATGTATTTAAGTTCATTTTTGCTTAAAAAGATAAATAAATACAACTGATGAACAGAACATTAAATAAATTCAGTCTAAATAACAAAGTCTGACAAAAGTTGGAGGTTTAAACACCAAAAATTTGGATCAGAAGGAAGACACAGAAATAATTCAGAGAAATATTAAGAAATAGTTTTTTAAAAAAAGCTTTCCTCCAAATCTCTCCACATTAAGACATTTGAAATGAAAGCAGAAAGTAGATTTAGTCTGGGGTACAAACTAAATAATGGACGAATGTATTTACAAAAGAAAATGCATAGATTAAGTAAAAAGATGTAAACCTTTGCTTGTTCTTTGCTCTCTGTAGTTCAGGTTCTGCAAGGTGTTGAGTTCTGAAAAACTGTTAATTCACAAAAATATTGGAAAATTTGTCAGGTGAAGTTTCTTGAAAGAAATCTTGTTTAAGAAAACAAAGTCCTTGCTCAAAAACCTACCTCCAATTATTCTGAAGAGATGATGGTGGGTGAGTTCTGTTTTTGCTCAAAAGATCCCTTCTTTATGCAAAGATTTGCAAACACACACCTACTTTTACCGAGAATGAAACCAAAGCCACTATTCCTATTTTGGCTCACATTCAACAATAATCATGTCACATCTGTCATTTCCTCAAGCAGGTGAAACATTCGCATACTTCCTTATAGGGACAGAATCAAAAAGCAGACCGTTTGATGAACTCATTAAAAACCGAGTTTGAGGTAATCTTAGTGTTTATAAGTTTACAAATGTTACAAAAACTGTCTTAACAATGGAATACATCCAAATGTGGTGATTTAGTTTAATGCCACATTATTCAGTGGATAATAAGATTGATTTAAGCTTTAAAATATATATTGATGTCCTCAAGGTTTGAGTTATTCATTTGATTTTGGAGTATTTAGTTCTATAACTATTACTTATATCAACCTGAACAGTTGTTCTCTTCCTTTAAATGGTTGAAAGTATGTTTCTGACTTAATTAAAAAACTCTGCTGTATGAGTCAGTAACTGTACTAATTGGCATTGTGATCACCAGGAAAGAAAACGGCATGTTGTTCAGCAAGAAACCAAGATGAAAATCTTTGCTAAGCATTTTACTTTTGACAAACAAGGAAAATATTTCTGAATCACTTCATCTGCTTGTTTTAGTCACTAGTACTGAGCCAGGTTCTGGTTCTGCTGGAGGTTTCTTCCTGTTAAAGGGGATTTTTTTCTGCTCGGTATGAGGAATTGCTGCAAAGTTCACAAAATGGAAGCGATTATCTACTGAGATAGAAAACATTTTAAACTAATTTGAATAATTATTTGAGATGACATCTCTGCTTTTCCACCAGAAAAATTGTAATGTACTTTATGTAGGCTGGTCGCAATAAATCACATGATAAAAGAATATCAATTTCCATTTGCATAATTTAGTGTTTCTTTGTACAAAAACCTTTTATTTTTAAAGATAATAGTGTTTACAGAGACGTCATAATTCAATTTGTTTTTTTATAATCAATACTTTAAATTTAAAGTCTAAATTTAGACTTTAAACAATCTCTTGAAAATATTTTAATATTCAAAATAAACAACTATACCATTACCATTATATTATTGCAAAACATCCAGATGACATTTTGATGAATAAGCTCTATATAAGTAAAATGAATAGAATTTGACCTTAGAGGAGACATCACTCCCTGCATTCATTTCCTATGGAACCTGTGCAATGAGGCAACAAGAAAACCTACTTCATTTAAAATGATCCTTCAGACCAGCAGCGCAAAACTCATGTTGGGGTTGCATTATCATTATTGTCTTCAAAAGATTAGTTGTGGAAGAATAGATCGATAAAATTACCCAATAAACTGTTCAAACACTAATAGGTGTCCCAGTCGATGACTTCAAAAATTGAACCACTTTTCATATTGACATAAATCAGATTAAAATGTAATAAGTTTTGATTGATGAAATTAACTAACATTCTCATTATGTTGCCTTCTAGACAACGACAAACTCTTATGGCAGGAAAGATTTTACCTGCATGCCTCAAGTTCTGCATACGCCACAGAGAATTTCAAATATCTATCGTATTAGGAAATGACTAAATGCTTGGGAAAGTTTTCTCTATGGTATGTAACTCAATGAGTTTAGCAAAAAAAAAACTAAAAAAACTTTTGAAGTTCTTTGAATAGTTTCACTTCAATGATGGTAGTCATGGATTTTTCTTTATAACTTCCTCAACTTTATCAGTATCCCCTCAAACCCTTCCTGTTAAAGGGACATTCGCGATTGAAACAATCCAATGTCCACTGTTTCAATCCACATTCATAATAGTACAGGTCATGTGTCTTAAGAAGCATTAGTTTTAAATATATATTCACCATAATTAATAATTCTACCACTGACTTTATTTTGAAGGAACAAGTTCCACACCTACTATGCAGGCAACATAAACACCTAATTTAAATCGTCTCACTCAACTCTGAGAAAAAATATTCTAACATCATTTATCTGAAATAAATACTATGACACCTAACACTACTTAGAACAGAATAGTTCACTAAACTGTTGGTCAAATCAAACCCATTTTCAGTTTTGTGTTTGGTTTATATCCATGATTATTGCATTGGCCCTCACAGAAGATCTTACCAATGGGAGAATCATAAATGAACGTTAAACTCCTTCCAGCAGGAGGTTTCAACTCCAGTCCTACACCAACAATGCACTACGTGAAGGATTTGATACCTATATACGTTTTATTATTGTTTTTTAATTTTTAATATACTTGTACAAAAGCCACAAAGTCATAATGGAGTATTTGTGTGTAGAATTTAATTTATAAATTTGTCAATGAAAATCCCAAGACCTGTAGAACATAATCCACAAGAAAGAGAATAAACCAAGAATCAGGTTAATTTTTCAAGATGGTGAGAAAACAGCCAAGGATGCAGGATTATTACATTGAGAAACAATTAAATTTTAGCTGAGAATAAACCAAAGCTTTAATCCCAAAAATGATCAAGTATTACAAGACATTCATATCAATCAATCAAGTTTATTTCTTGTATATTATATATCTGCAACAATGGAGCTCAGAGTTATTTACATCATGAAAGCATGAAGATGATATAGTCAACAATTGTGACAACCAGTAACAGACATTACATTTTGTCAAGTGACATCCTTAAAACCACCAAATAAATAAGTTGCTCAATGTTCCATTTATTATGGTTCACAATAAACTACTGGGTATAACCCTGGATCCAAAGGAACTCAGTGTTTCAGCTGTTTTTAAGATTTAAGAGTTTGTTCCCTAGTGTGTCATTTCCTTCACCCTTAGCTTTGAAAGCGTTCCCCAACATGTGAATGCATGTATGTATATACATGTGAATGCATGTATGTATATACATGTGAATGCATGTATGTATATACATGCACGCAAATAGCTATAAAAGACAGAGAAAAAACACAATTATATATTCTCAACAGTAAGCGTGCAGCAGTGTGTGTGTGTGCAAGCAGATAAAATTAAAATTGGAACACAAAAACAAAAGTGACGCAAAAAAACATTGAACCCCCAAAGAAACTAAAAACAGTAAAAAGTTTCATATTTTCAACTGCTCATAAGAATTAGGTGATTCACAAAGAAAATAACATTTTCCCTCAAATTAATTAGAAATTCAATAAAATTAACCACACCAAAAAATAATAACAATGATTATGATTAAATTGAAAACGAAGGTACGGTAAATAAAGTAAAACAAAAAAGAATTATTTACTGTCCAACCAAAATGAAATATATATACTCCAGATCAACAGAACCTTAGAGGTGACTAACTCATATAGATGCTACAGTTAAGGTAACTGAAAGAATTTTCTTTTAAAAGAAGTTGGATCAATTGGATTCAACATTAGACAAAATTCTAGGTGGTACTTTACATTTTTATTCATGATGTAAAAAAATGCCATTAAGGCATATTTTCAAAATAGGTCAGTCAAGCAAACTAACTATAATTTACAGATTTTGGTAAACTTGTATGTTTTCTTTATCATTTCAGATTAAAACAATCATGTCCTCGAATGTCACCTGCTTTTTTCCTATAAATCTTTACCTCATCTCTCTTTAAGCTCCCCCCAGTCCCATGTGCATATTTTGTGTTAGAAATAAACACAAAATAATGTCTGATAAAGTTGATATATCTATATATTATATTCCACTTGTGGAAGTAAATCTATTTTAGCTTCACCTTTGCACAGTTCTGAGTTTAGATTTGTTGTGAAGGAATCAGCGAATTACTGTTTCGCCAGGATTTCCTCTCCCTTCTCTACTTTAGCTATGATCTCTGCCTTTCCCTTCATCTTCATCAGAGCCTGAACTCTCTCCTTCCAGCCTGGCTTGGCCTCCTGTTCCTCTCCTTTAATGAGCATGTCAATGTACTCTGGAGTGGTGAGGGGATTTGGGTTCAGGACTATCTCTTTCATTCTGTTCAGACACTTTGCAGCCTCTGCAATCAGTTTCACCACATCAACCTGCATAGATCGATACTCCGACATCAGATTCCTCATCAGCTCCTCTAAGGTTTCCTTCTGTCCAAAGGCTTTCTCGTATTTTTCTTTCAGCTCTTTCACTGTTCTCGTCTCATGAATTTCCTGATATTCCCACCTGAAGCTCTGGTTGGAATGCACATTCCAGAAACATTTTCCTGGACACCTTGTACAGTATCCATCTGGGCCCATTGCATCACATCCTTTTTTATCCTCATCTTTTTGTATGTTACAAGGGGAGTGACAGGTAACATGGCACTGCATGCAGTCGGTGATAAACTTCCCAGTATGAGAAATATCAACTTGTTCATTCTTTCTTACAGTAACATGAAACTCAAAGTTCTCATTGTTTCTGATCTCTGCTTCATGCTCTTTGAGTTTGTCATTTGTCTCCCTGATATCCTCTAGCTTGGCTAGGCCAAGTTTAACCTGCTTCTGCAGCTCCTCCACTGTACTTTCCAGGTGCTTTCTTTCTTTCAGGACCTCGTTGGTCATTGTCAATCTTATGGTTTTGATGTTAGCTAGACTAGCAAAGAAACCAGCCATGTTCTGTGTTCCCATGTTCCAATACTCAAAGGTTTTCTCTTCATTGGCCCAAATCCTTGCCACTAGGGATTTGTTGTTAGCAAACAGCACTGAGTTATTGAATTTGAAGTGAACCGGCAGCCCGTCTGCACCTTTAGGACACGGGACACGGACACTTTAATGGCCTCTATAACTGGTTGCTGCTGCTCATCTGCAAACGTCACCAGGATCCTGATGTTTTCTGCCACATCTTTGCCAAAAATTGAGAGTGCTGAATCAAACACATATCTTTGTGTTGCTGTCAGTTCAGTTAGACCTGCCTGAACTACGAAACACACAGTATCAATTTCACCAACACCTTCTTGGTTAGCAAAGAGGTTTCGCAGCTGCTCTGTGATCTCCTTGTCTCTGTCTACGCCGCCGATTCCCCCAAAGCCT